AAACAGCGAAACTAGCCTGCTCTAGTGGTAATCGCGCCTTCCGATCGTATCGCACGTCCTGTCTTCTAAAAATCCCACCCGCATCGTCTGACTCTTGCGACATGGATTGCACGATCTACGCACATTATCACGCGAATCGCGCAAGACCAGAGTTGTTCTATTCATGGTACTTAGGTGAAGTAAAGTGGCCCTCAGTTACGCGCCGCTTCTTCTACAATGACCGCGTCCGTTGCAAGCACCACAGTCGAGTCTCCCCCCGGGTTACCCTATGCGGCGGACTCGGACAGGGAGAATCAGAAACAGTCGTGGCTCGGATACCTCTGGGATACCGCGGATGTGAGTGCTCAAGAGCGAAGAATGTTGTTCAAGGTGGACGCATCCTTGCTACTTTTCGCATCGGTATGGCCCATTTTCATTCTCCGGGTTGGAGTTAATATCGCTCGTAGTTGGGGTATTTCATCAAGAATCTGGACCAGGTACACAATGCTGCTCAACTTGACGCCTAGCGTTAATATATTTCACCGCAGACAAACGTTACGAGTGCAGTCAGTGTTCCGGTGCCTCACCGGAAAAGTTGTAAAGTCTAATTTCATGTCCAGTTTTTTGCCGGGATGAAGGAGGATTTGTCAGTGTAGATCGCTTTCACCCTCGGTAGTGTCTGACCTGATTTTTCAGGAATATGAATGGAAACGAATTGGTGTATGCCACTTCTTTCTGGACCGCAGGGTGGGTTTTGCCTCTTTGTTCAATATTCGTTGTATAACGTTCGCAGATATGTTATCGGCCAAGTACCATCGAACTTGCTCCTCACTAGAATTTCCCCCCAATTTGTGATTCCGACGGTATGGTTCATCCCGATTCATTGAATGATACTGACTCAGTCTGGCAGCTTGAACTTGCTTGGGGGTTAGCAACACTGGGGACGTACTCCGTGAAAGATGTTAAGTCCCTCTACGCACTGAGATTCCTGGGTTCGAGTTCTCTGTTCTCTGAAATATCCTAGCTGATCGGTTTCTAGTTGGATTGTTCGAGTCCGGGTTTTATCCAGGCATGCACTACATTCTGGGATCATGGTTCGTAATCTATTTCCAAGAGAAAAGTGACGGCAGTTTAACAATGCTTACAGGTATACGCCGCGCGAATTGGCGAAGCGGTCCACGATATTTTGGACAGCTGGGTCCCTAGGATCCATGTTTTCCGGGTTCTTGCAGACAGCAGCATACAACAATCTTAACGGAGTTCGCGGCTTAGCGGGATGGAGGTATGGAAATATCGCCTCCCACTCATTCGGATCTCTAAATTTTCGGAACCCCCTGAAGATGGCTTATGATCGTCGATGCTATCGTGTATGCGTTAACGTCGTGTGCCAGTTAACAACCGCTGAAAAAAGAATTAGCACGATCCCCATCGCCCTCTTTGGATTCGTTTTCCTCCCCAATTTACCATGGGCGGCGAAGCCGTCTGTCCTTCTCACTGAACAGGTATTTTGCTTTAGTTTCAACATCTCGCGCTTACTAAATTTCTCGCAGGATATTGTCCTCGCCCGTGCCCGAATGAAAGCAATTGGGAGAAAGGAGAGCGAACCATGGAGCAAAGCCAAGGTAAGGTCGCTTCGTATATTTAGGCTTGATGCTCATTAGACGTTTATAGCTTCGCCGAATGCTCACTGGTTGGTATATTTGGATCCTTCCAATTGAATATGTGCTTTGGAACAACGGTCCTGCTCAATCACCCATGCAATACTGGCTCAAGAGTTTCAACGTTAAGCCGTATCCGGTCCCAGGAACACAATATACCGTATCCCAAATTCAATTGCGTACGTTTATTGGAGAACGTTTATTTTCACGGCTCATATATGCGTCGAAACCATCTAGTTCCCCTCCCTGCAACAGCTATCTTCGTTGTGACCGCCTTGATATTGGCGTGGGTCAGTGACGGGCCTGCCAAAGGCGCGTACTCCCTCTCCTCGCTCTAGACATGAAGCGTTAAGCATTGAATTACCAGGTCTACGATGGCCATTCGTAATTGCAGGATCGATAGTAACTCTAATATTCGACACTGCATGGCTTGCAATGCCACTATATTCCAACATCCGTGGGCATTTCGCGTACTTCTACCTTATGACGCTAGGTGTAAGTGGTGCAGAGTTGGGTGCGTACCAACCCGTTCTCACAATGCGATAGACGACGGCTGGGCCCATGATCCTCAACTGGATTAGCGAAGTCACTCAAGCAGACGTAGAGCATTTCTTCGTTCTCCTCTACTTCGTGTCTGAATTTTATTGTCATCTAGAATGAGCTCCGCGCTATTTGTGTTGCGCTTGCCAACGACCTCGCCTATGTCGTTCAAGCAGTCGCGCCGAACTTCGTGTGGAAGACAACTGACTTTCCGCGCGCATCGAAGGGCTACCATTGGTCTATCGGTGCGTTTGTACGCAGAATCACCGGCCGCCGCTCATTATTACGATCGCAGCATTACAATTTCTGCTGAGTACGCCTGCCGTCTTTCTCAGCCTTGAGTCCTTAATTAATCCCTTTCTCAGTCAGCTGGACATTCTTAATTCTGTATCTTCTTCGCCGGGATAGAAGCAAAGAAGCCGAGCGCGGGAATGAAAGTGACGCTGATGCGGTGGAGTCTAGAACGGTTCACGGAGTTGCGGAAGAGTTTACGCTTAAAGTCTGACATGAGGATTGCATGAAATTATGACAGAAATGAACGCCATTTCCTTGAGATACATACCATTCTTCTCCTGCTGAGAAATCCACGTCTGAATCCTGACGAATCCAACACTAACACTCGGGGTAACGCCCCGATACCGGCACACAATCCCTTTAGACCCAAGAAGATGGCGCAACATACTCGACATGGCAAGTCATCTGGCTCTTATCGCCACTACGTTCTCTGGTTCAATTCGATGCCCATATTGCGTGCTTTCCTGGACGATTTGTAACGCCAATTTGGGCGTATATAGGGCACGGTGGACTAAATGTACATTCTCACTCACTGAGTTCATTCATCCATCCCAATGGCGCCAGTTGCAACCGAAACCACCACTTCCACCCCTGCGCATCAGGTGCTAAAGCAGGGCCCGATCAAACCCGTTTACCCCCAGGAGGACAAGAACTTCAAGCGTCCCCCCGAGAACACACTCCGGCGCTACGAGAAAGCGGGGATTGACATCTCGCGTGCGTGCTCCCACTCATCTGATTGGATCTCAGGACAAGTGACTGACGCGATAATTTAGAGGGATACCCTTACCTTCCGAACAAGCCCGAGTTTGTGCAGGACGTAGAGAAGCTGCAGACAAACCTCCGCACCTACGTTGACCCCGGGACGCGCGCGGACCCGGAGAAGAAGGCACTTTTTGGCGCAGCGAAGGAGGTCAATGACCTGTCGATCCATATTGGGGTGCGTTTTCCGTTTCACTCCTTTCTCGTACGCCGTTGTGCTCATGAATTATCCAGACGGAGATCGTGGGGCTCCAGCTCGCCGAGCTGACCGATAAACAACGGGATGAACTGGCCCTTCTTGTTGCGTACGTCGCCATTCGGCTTGTTGTAAACCCATCTTCCTAATAAATTAATGGTTGACTAGCGAGCGCTCCGTCGTCTGTACGTCTGCAGTCCACAGCCACGCAGCTGTTACTGACATTGTTCACAGTCTTCCGCAACCAGGACCTTTCGCCCCAGAAGCAGAAAGAGCTCGGCGTGTACCTGGGCGACGGCGAGATCGAGATCCACCCGCAAGTCCCGCAGGTCCCCGGTGTGCCGGGCGTGACGCTGATCTGGGAGAGAGCGCGCGAGTATTACACGAAGGACCCCAGAGGTTTCAGGAACGCATATCCGTCTGGGAGCTACGGCTGTAAGATTTTTCTCTGTTGTTAATTCTGCGCCTGACTAAGAACGTTGAAATGCAGGGCACACCGACTTGGTGCACCTCGCGTTCCCGCCGGGGTACACTCATCTCCACCAGGACACCGTCCCGGAAGTCGGCGGCGACACGCTCTGGGTGCGTTCCGTCTCCTTTCTCTGGGTTGAACTTGGCCGAACTGATATAATTCACTTGAAGGCGTCGGGGTATGCTGCCTACGACAAATTTTCGCCCGCATTCCGCAAGATCATCGACGGCCTCAAGTAAGCACCTTCCCCAGTCCGTCTACCTGGAGAGCTTCTTAGTTAATTTTGCTCCACAGCGGGATTTATCGCTCTGCGCACCAGTACAAAGACGCGGAAGACCCAAGCACCCCGGCGCGCCATGTCCACAAGGTGCACCCTCTGGTACGTGTTCTTCGTCTTCCCCGTCCGACAATGGGAGGCTGATGACGGAGTACAGGTGCGCACACACCCGGTGACAGGGTTCAAGACGGTTTACGCGAACCGCGCGATGACGGTCGGCATCGAGGGCTTCGACAAGGCCGAGAGCGACGCGATCCTGAACCACATCCACGAGTGCGTAATCGCTTCCCAGAGTGACAGATAGGTTAATCTGACGACCGCCGATCCAGCGTGTATGAGAAGTCGACCGACCTGCAGATCCGCTGGAAGTGGACGCCGGGGACGTCCGCGATGTGCGTCATTTTCTTTTGCATAAAGTACATGGCATGGCTTACCGATCTGGTGTGACGTGCAGCTGGGACAACCGCACGACGATCCACACGGTGTCGTACGACTTCGAGGGCAAGGGCGAGCGGCACGGCACCAGAGTCAGCTCGCTTGCAGAGAAGCCGTTCTTCGAACCCACTTCGAAGTCCCGGCGCGAGGCGTTGAAGTTGGACGATTAGGGGTGAATATTCTGTAGCAATGTATAACAATCTTCAAAGGAACGAATTCAAGGATAGAGGTTTCGAGGATAAGAATGGTCTGAACGCTAGAAAGTATAGTCTTCCGCGAACAGAACCTCTCGCTCCAAGCAGAGCCACAAGGCGAGATTCGCCGCCATAAATTCAGATTTCCATAATTGCGACTGGTTCCAGTCAGTCGATCCCAGGATAAAAAGAGCAAATCAGACACGGAGAATCGAACTCCAGACTCCCATTCATTTTTGTTGCACTTCGGAACGATTCATGGGTGTGTTGCCACTACACCATGCCGGACTTGCACGGTCGCCCCAAGAAGCGTAGAACACAGCAGAAAACGGCTGTAGAGCAGGACAGTTACGAGAAACTCACATAAGACGGTCTGGAAAGTGCCCAGACGACTTTTTTGTGGGAGTCCGAGTCAGCGTGCTCGAGGCTCGGACCAAGGAGGGTGCTGACAAAGCAACCGCTCGTCGTCGTCTCCTTCCTCCTCCCGCTTCCTCCTCCGTCCCAGACCCGCTATGTCTCTCCCCAAGGCAAGTCTCGACCAGTCTATACCCTCCTGCTTCCCCTGGCGCTCATACGACTACTCGCCATTCTTATCGGATTAGCGCATAATCAAGGTGCTCTGCGTCGCTTACCGTTGCTGAGCTGCTTCTGAGCCCAGCGATCCCCAGGAAACCGAGCGCCTAGTCGCCGACCCTGCCCCCGGCATAACTGCCGCGCCTCACGACGACAACCTGCGGTATTTCGACGTGACGATCCAAGGCCCCGATGGCAGCCCCTTCCAGCGTGCGTGCCGTTTTCCATCTTCCTTTACGTCTCTCTGGGCTTGCATATCACCCATGCACCCCATTTCTGGACCCCGCTCGTGTGCCGCCCAGGGCTGACTAGCTTTTCCTTTCCTTAGAGGGCATATTCAAGCTGGAGCTCTTCTTACCAGAAGAGTACCCGATGGCGCCACCGAAAGTCCGCTTTCTGACCAAGATATACCACCCCAATATCGGTGAGCCCTGGTGCCCGTGCGCCCATCGCCCGCCGGCCTGATTCCCGCTGCTCTACGCAGACAAACTCGGTCGGATCTGTCTGGATATCCTCAAAGGTGCGTGCTCGCCCCTCCGCTCTAGCCCGCGCTTACCTGCCGTCCCAGACAAGTGGTCGCCCGCGCTCCAAATCCGCACCGTCTTGCTCTCCGTGCAAGCGCTCCTCAGCGCGCCGAACCCGGACGACCCTCTCGCACCCGACGTCGCCAAGCACTACAAGGAGAACGAGAAGGATGCGCAGCGCGTCAGCCGCGAGTGGACGCAGCAATATGCATCCTGATTCGCCGCGTGGAACGGGTGGATGTATGTTGTACGATGGGCATCTTGAACGACAGAATGTACACTGGATCGATCTGACTTTCTCCTTCCTTCTCTATTCACTGGTCGTGCGAGGACTATTTAGTTTGCGGACGACACACGGTAGAGTTATACATTTTCTTATAATTAAATCACCAGCTCCCACTACTTTCTCGCTGGCGCAGGTTCTTTCGTAGACTGGTAACCGTTGTGTCTAGGTCTAGGCTGGTGCTGGTTTTGATTCTGCTGTTTGCCTTTGAGCTCTCTGCGCCACACTGTGATTCAGCTTAGCTCTCTAGCCCCTTGCATCTGTCTGACACGACCTTAGCTCGTTGGCTCTGTCAACAAATGTCACTGGCATGTCGTTTTGAGGTTCTGCGTCCGTCGACTAGGTTCTTTTCGGCCTCGAACGACATGAGCTATTTGGCATCCGAATCTGAAGCTCAAGTTTCTTCAGCCCTCGGCTAGATCATCGATCCCGCTCGCGACATGCTGGGTCAGAAATAATGGACGAGCTGGCCAGGCCTTGTTCGATGGGCTGATTATGACCAAGTCAACGTCGACGGGTAAGTATTGAATGCGGACTACTGCTAATTAGCTCGCATCTGAAGTCAAGGCCGTCCACGGTGCCCGATCGCACTTCACAGAATAATGTCAACTTCTTGAAATCTTTGAAACTCAGTCGTGATCTCCATCCCAAGTCTGCCATTAACTCTTCTGCTTGTCGCTTTTCTTTAGCCCCAGTCTCCACCTTCTCCAGAGTTCCTCTGGATCAGGACATCTGGAATCGGCGCAGTTCGAATGTCAAGGTAAGTATTTTTTTTTTGATTTCGTTTCGTTTCCCCCTGCGCTCAAAGTGTAAGTATGATTCCTGATGACTAACTGTCTCCACCCTCTTGTACCTCCAGGTTCCCTACGACAAAAATTGTTTGGCGAGTACTTGGCGGGTACTTGTGAAAGGACGTGATGTGGCAGTGTAGATAAGATAGAGAAGAATTGGGGCCAAATGCTCACTGCTGACTGAGTTGTCTGGCTATAGACGGAATGGGACGGGTAAAAAAATGGAAATGGAAAGGAAAGAAAGAAAGAAAAAAGACGGAATCAAACTGCAACGAATAAAACCACAATTGGGGTCCGGACGGAGTCGAAAGGCATTGGCTATGAGCTGGAAGGACAAATGCCATAGTCTGGACGGAGGCCCAGTCAGGAGCTCTGAGCCATTGCTTTTGAGCTGGGAAGCATCAAACCACAGTCCGGACGGAGTCGAGCCATTGGCTAGAAAAGTCTCTTGTAGACAGAAACTACACATGAAGAAGCTCGTACATGTAACCTCGCATGTTTGTACATTGGCTAAGAGCTCAAAAAAAAGGGGGGCCATCAAGAGCTGACCGCTGAGCCATTGACTGTGAAGCAGGCCACAACATACCGGGTCAAACCGGAACCCGGAGGATCCAGGTCTACCCGGAGGGCGTCATATAAGATAATCGACGTCATTGACTCATTGCTGATCTTGCACTTGTCGTCGACCACAATGGCCACTTTTGCCAATCGCTCGTACGATTCCGGAAGTTACGCAGAATCGAGGCCATCATATCCGCGCCTTCTTTACGACGTCGTCTTACAATTCCACAAGGATGGACAGGCGAACGGGAGTTCGGCGCAGTGGGAGCGTGCCGTCGACCTTGGCTGCGGAACAGGTGCGTAACACACGCGATCGTTTTACTTGGGGCTATAATCTCACCGGAACTTACCATCCGCTAGGCCAAGCAACAGTTCAGCTGCTAGCCAGTGCGACCATCTCCTTTCGGAGCTACTGCTGCTATTCGGGGACTTACACTTTGCGTTCCAGACGACGAACATCCGGGGTTCGAGAGCGTCGTTGCTATCGAGCCCAGTCCCAACATGATCCAAGTCGCCAAAGACTCCATACCGGAGCAGTATAGATCTCGTGTGGATTTCCGGCAGTCTGCAGCAGAGGAGCTTGGTTTCATCGAGGACGGGGCAGTCGATCTAGTCACTGCAGGTGAGAGTTTTCAAGGTTGCGTCCAGCTATTTAGGCACTTAGAACAAAACATCAGCACAATCCGCTCATTGGTTCGACTGGACTAGGGCGTGGCCGGAACTGCAGCGCATCTTGAAACCCGGCGGAACGTTTGCGTTTTGGGTGAGCGCCACTGGTTGATATTATACCGCTCGAATAACTCGCATCCATTTCTCATCAGGGATATTCGGATATCCGACTGACACAGCACCCTGAACTCACGCCCCTCATCGCTGCATACTCCCATGGCACCGATCCCGCGACGTCCCTCGGGCCGCATTGGGAGCCCGGCCGCAAGATCCTCGACAATCACTTCCTCGACATCGACGCGCCTGCTTCGGGGTGGACGGCCTTGACGCGCGTATTTTACACAGGGACGCACTACCCCGCCCTGCCCGCGCCGCAGGAGGTGATCATGAAGAAGACGATGACCTGGGGCGGGGGCTTTGCCGGATACCTTCGCACATTTAGCTCATTGCACCGCTATCACTCCGTGTTTCCAGAGGATCGCGCACGCCGCGACGGGGATATTGCGGTGCGGTTTCGGCGGGCATTGATGGAGGCTACCGGGCTCCCCGAGGGCGCTGAGGCTGACGCGGCGCTTGTCGAGGTCGAATGGCCGCTGGCTCTCGTCATGGTGCGCAAGGTGTAGAGTTCCTTCCTTTGGATTTAGTGAGTTTAAATTTCGTGTTTGTTCTATGTAGATAAATCTTCGTTTCAATTACTTGAACTACTTTCGCGTATCTGATTGGCAGATGCGATTGGCTACTGATCTCCGTGCCGTTCCTGGCTGTGCTATAGTTGTGCTATTTTTAAAATCACGCGCAAGCCCATATGGTACGCATACACCAGCCGTCGTCAAGGCTGAATTAGCCAGGTCCCATGTGCAGTTTGTGTGCAGCCGCTCAAGGCAACAATTCATTTTTCGTACGAAATTCCGCAAACTCCTAATATCTTGCCATGTAACAACGTCGACGTCTCAAAGCGTCTCAAACAAATCCGGTGTCTATAACAACCTCATAGTGCTTGCAGTGGGGATCCCGGTTGTACTTATACCCCTTGTGTTGCGATCAGATTGCAAAAGTGATTGTACCAAGGGGTGACATGTGGTAACGGAAAGGGGATATTCTGACCTTCGAGCCTTATCTACTACTTAGATGCTGGCCAAAGGGCGGACGAATAGCTCAATTCCAGCTTGCAGCCCCTAACAATCGAGGCTTGAGCACGGATGCCAAGAAAAAACAGGGAGAGCGCAATCACAATTAAACGGAGTTCGGGATGACCGAAAGCAACCGAAGGTGCGATCATTTGTTTCCAAACCTAAGGCCCTAAGGGATAAGAGATCTGATCCGGAGGTACCTGCGCCTTAAAAGCTATGGCCAACGGGAATGCATCCTCGAGCTCCCTTTTTCTCCCTTCCCTTACTCTTTCTCTTCTTAGGACCGGTTCCTTTTTTTTCGTCCATCCTCTTTTACGCGCGCACAAATATTCAACCTCACATTCTTTAAATCATGATCTTCACCGGCAAGTCCGCCCTGGCGTGTGCCTCGTTATTCCTCGCCTTGGCCGCGCAGACGTCCGCACATGCGATCCCCACGTACGCTTTCATTCATTCCCTCTGCCGATAACCTTTTGAACGAGGCCATTTTTCTAGCGTGCCTCTTGGTGTCAAAGGCGCGCCTAAGCGTAGCGATGTGCAGCGTCCTTCCGACGCGAAGCCGTGTGGGAACATAAACCCCGCGAACACGCTCGACACGTCCACCGCGATCCCTGCCGCCGCAGATGGCACTGTGGATATTTCTGTCGTCAACTGTGCGTCCATACTTTTGTTTTCTCCTGAGCACCAGCCTCATTGGCGTTTCTTCGATACCAGTCAACGCGTAAATATTTTTTCTATGGCTTCTGGGAATACCTAC